ATTCTCTCCTTCTTTCCTCTCACCATAATTTCGTCTTTCCTTTCTTTCCCATACCGAACCTCCCTCCCTCTTCTCTCTCCCTCCTCCCCCCATTTTTTTCTTCCCTTCCTTTCTCCCCCTTTCCTCCTCCCTTCCTCCCTCCCCCTCCCTCCCTCCCCCTTCCCACCCTCTCCCCTTCCCCCTTCCTCCTCACCTCCTCCCTTCCTCCCTCCCTCCTCCCTCCCTCCTCCTTCTCCCTTCCCTCCATCCACGAAATACCAGAGTTCTAAAACAGTCGTAGTATTTTTTATAGCTTCAGTTTGGGCTAAATATAACACACACGAAGGGGGAAGGGGGGGGGGGTAAGAAGGGGAGGAGGGGAGGAGGAGGAGTAGGAAGGAGGAGGAGAAAGGAGGAAGAGAAGAAGAAGAAGAGGGAAGGAGAGGGGAGAAGGAGGAGGAGGAGGAGGAGGAGGAGGAAAAGAGAGGAGGAGGAGGAGGATAGAGGAGGGATAGGAGGATAGAGGAGGAGGAGGAGGAGGAGGAGAGGAGGAGGAGAAGGAGAAGGAGGAAAGAGGAGAGGGGGAAGAAGGAGGAGGAGGAAGAGAAGGAGAAGGAGAAGGAGAAGGGAAGGGAAGGAGGAGGAGGAGGGAGAGGAGGAAGAAGATAGGAGGAGGAAAGGTATAGGAGAGGAAAGGAAGAAGGAGACAGGAGGAGGAAAGGAGGATAGGAGGAGAAGAAGAAGAAGAAGGAAAGGGGAGAAGGAGGAGGAGGAGGAGGAAGAGGAGGAGAGGAGGAGAGAAGGGAAGGAGGGGAGGAGAGAACGGGAGGAGGGAATGGGGGACTGGGGGGGGGAGAAAGGAGCATGAAGAAGAGCATGGAAAGAGAGAAGAAGGGGGAGGGGATGGAATGAGAAGAAGGAAAGGTAAGAAATGCGAGGAAGGAGGAAGCGAGTGAAAAGATGGGAGGAAGAAGGAAAACGGAAGGAAGAAAGAGAGACGGAGGGAAGAGAGAAGAGGAGAGAGGAGGGAAGGTGAGGGAGACAGGGAGGAATAAAGAAGGAGGATGCGGATGAGGAGAATGAGGAGAGGGATGGAGGAAGGGAGGAGTGGAGGCAAAAGGGAAAGGAAAAAAGAGAAGGAGAGAGGAGGTAAGGAGGAAGGGAGAGGGAAGAGGAGGCAAGTGAAGAAGGAGGGAAGGAAAGGAGGATGGAGAAGAAGAGGAAAGAAAAGGAGGAAGAAAGAGAGGAAGAGGAGGGAAATAAGGAGGAGGGGACGAGGAGGAGGGAAGGGGAGGGAAGTGAGTGAAGGGGGGGGGGTAAAGGGGGATGGGGTAGGGAAGGAATGGGGGGGGGGGGTTCCCTACTGGGGCCCGCCGTTACAAGGTAAATATCAGAAATAGAGTTAATATATAAAGCGTATGTTGGGATCTTCGGCATTTTTCTTCTATTCTCTCTTTTGTCTCTTTCTGTCTCTTCCTTTCATTATCTGTTTGTCTTCGTTTGCCGCCGCGTGTCTCTCTCTGTTCTGTCTGTCTGTCTGTCTGTCTTCTCTCTCTCTCCATTTCTCCCTCCCAATCTATCTCTCCCTCTCTTCCTCTCTGCTTGCCTCCTTCTCTTCTCTTTCTCACCTTCTCTTTTTCCCTTTCTCCCTCCCCCTTCCCCTTTTCTCTGTCTCTGCCACTCCTCCACTCTCTCTCCCTCCCTCCCTCCTTCCTCCCTTCCTTCCTTCCCTCCCTCCCTCCCTCCCCCTCCCTCCCCTTCGCCTCCCTCCCTCCCTTCCCTTCCCTTCCCTTCCCTCCCTTCCCTTCCCTCCCTCCCTTCCCTCCCTCCCTCCCTTTTTCCCTCCCTTCCCTCCCTTCCTCTCTCTCCCTTTGCAATCAACATTCTCTCTTTATTCGAGTTCAAATAGCTTACTATCTGACATCAAAGAAGTTCGGCAAATGCATCACTCTATTTTGGTTTATCATTTCGAGATTGTTTGAAGATGGATCCATTCGAAAAAGAATAAAAAGTCCACTCTAAAATAAATAAATAAATAAATAAATAAATAAATAAATAAAATATTCAATGAAATATAATGAAATCCACTAGAAAAAAAACGAAACAAAAAACAGTCGAGTAAATATGTAAGTGCGTTTGTAAATGCGTAAACAAACGGACGAAAATAAACACACGAACAAAACTCGGCCGCGTTCTGTAAAGCCGCGAAACAAAACAGAACAAACAAACAGAATAAAATACGAGGCGTGAGTCACTCTTCTTCTCTTCTCCTATCTGTCAAAACTTCACAAAAAAAGAAGAAAATAAATAAACAAGATAAAAAAAGAGTAAAATAAAAATGTTAAAACGCCCGATGTTACTTAATGATAACCGTTTCCATCCATCACCAATAAAGGCGTTTTTGCAAAGGGCGTTCGCGTATCGTACATCCTGACTTCGCATTCACGACGTCGCAACCATGTGACACACGCACACACACACACACACACACGTACACAGGGAGTGTCTGTCAGATACAGACGTACACACATACACGCGTGGATACATGGGCACACGTTTACACATACATATACACAGTCATATAGACATATACACGCTTGTATACCTACATAGATTCACCCGCACACACTTAAAACACACACACACACACACACAAGGAGGCACAGACAGACAGACACAGAGAGAGAGAGAGGAGAGAGAGAGAGAGAGAGAGAGAGAGAGAGAGAGAGAGAGA